TTATCCCTTCGCAGGTTTTCGGGCTCATTCGGAATTCCATTGACAGTTCTCGGCCCGGGTTTCTCGCTAGCGGGCATTATCGTCAGATTAACCGTTTCATAAGCAGGGTGGGCCGAAAAGGGGCCCTCGGTCCGAAGACAATCCGCACACACCGACATCGAGGCGAGGCTATTGCGCCTCTTCTTGTTTCGCCGGCCAAACGGCCTGCCTCTCTCAGCCCAACGAGAGGAGTTCCAGTACAAAGACCCACCAGACGGGAATACTCGTTTCTTTCTGTTGCCTTTCATCCTCCACGGCACTTCCTTCCCACCGTCTGCTCTGCCTCGTCCCCCGCGCCAACAGAGAGACCCACAGGCCGTTCCACCAGTGGCCAGCATCTTGATGGACCGTGCTTTAAATTAACCTTTTCTCGCGCTAATATCGCCATCGTTTCGATAACCGTCCACGTCTGGGCCGTTCCTTTCCGTTTCGCCTTATTTCCGCGCCATTCCTTTTACGTTCCGCAGCTTCTCCGCTGCACCAGCAGTCTCCATTGTTACGTATAATTTGTCTGGATTATTGTTATTTGTCAGATGTAAGTGGGATTTGCCTTGAAACTCGATGGAAGATCGGCTCCATTCGAGTTCGGTTCGCACAAGCGTCAATACCCAGTTTTCTATTGACGAATATATAACAAATGTTGTGAATATAGTTTGCAGTATATTCACGAAACGTACATCTTATGAATGAAAACCGATAAATATTACGTATATACATGTAGAAAGCTCTGAGATCTTCTCCCGTAAGTGTACGAAATTCTGATCGTTATTTATCGAACAACAGGGATGAAATAAACATTTATCCTTTGTTCGTTTCTCGCGAAGAAATCTCACCTAACTCCTCGAAGACGAGAGGAGTCGGCCGAAACGAACCCGTCGTCGCAAATTCCTACGGGCGAAAAACCGCTGGAAACCATGGTCGAGCTCGCTGGCGGTTCGAAAAATCGGCCGCGAGCTGGCATTTTCGAATCGCCGTGACGAGATCGCCGTATTATCACGTTACACACGAAATATCGTGTTGCAAGGTTACCATTGAACGCCAACGCCATTATCCTACCCGGCGTTTTCGTTCTGCAATTTAATCTACGACGCCGGGGGAATATACCTTTTCCCCTTATTGCGCCGGCTGATTTAAGCACACCTTGAACGCGCGCCCGGCGCAGTCCTTAAATTAACCATCAACAGATTAACGAGCGGCCAACGATGCGAAGTTTCCCTCGCCGCGTGCGCCAGCCCTGGGAATTACACTCTGTTTGCAGCAACAACAAAATGGCAAGCTTAATCCACGACGACGACGTTGGTGGAAGCCAACCAGCGGAAGAATGAGAAGGATTCGTTCTCCCGCGCGGCCACCGCCGAGTCTCGTGTTTCTTTCGATGATATATACGACTTGTTCGTGCAACGTCCCGAACAGAAAAAGAAAAAGAAAAGAAAGAAGAAGAACGAAGAAGATAACCGTCGATCCTCTGGATAAGGCGACCTCTTTATGGGGAACGATGTCATCGTCGACTGAATCGCACCCACGGCGAGATATCCCCGCGAGATTCTCACAGGGCCAACGCTTCACCGACTGTTCCCTCTGCACGACGAGTGGTGAATTTTTCCGTCGAGTGTTGCTGCAGTGTTGAACTGGTAGATTTGGAGAATCCTGGTAATAGCGTAAGTCCAAATTTTGACAATCTTCGATTGTATCGATGAAACGGAAATCGATGGTCTAAAATGGGCACTGAATTTCGTATTTCGTAGAAGGCAAACTGATCAATTCTACTCTTTGATAATTTCTCAACTTTGTTGCATCAACGGAGGATTGACGTTTTGATTCTTAACAAATTTACAAATTTCACAAGTTCATTCGTTGTAAGAATCGTTGACGCAAGCAATGATGAATTCTAGTATAATAGATTTAAGAAACAACGCTCATATTGTCGTTTTTCGATGCCTTTTTGTTTCATGGAGTTCGATATGATCTAACCTAACCTAACCTAAACCTAACCTAAACCTAACCTAACCTAACCTAAAATGAGCAACTCGTATATGAAACCTGGTCAACATATTTTGCAACATACAGATTAAATATAATACAAAAATGTTCAATATAGATTCCCATTATCAGTTACACTGTGAATCCTTATTATTATCACGAATCTTGTTACATATTTCTCCAACCTATTGAAGCTGGTTCTATCGATAAAACAGTCCAAAGCGTATGCGTGAGTCTCTCGGAAACCAAACTGCTCAATTACACGGAATAGCAAATATTGCGAAACGATAGGTATAATATGTAAAAACGAGTCCGCTACAAAACAACCACACCAGACAGCCTCTTGTCGTGCCAACATAATACCAACCCCTTTTCGCGCAACTTGCCCAATATATGTACTTCTTGACAAACTTGTTGACACTTTTTCATGTAATATAGAAACTCGACAGAGAAAACGTTCAATCTCGATTTTCAACTGCACTGTGAATCTTACTGTCGTCAACCGAAAATACCAACAGAATACCAACTTTTTCGCATAACCTGCTTAACAGACGTACCCAAACTTGTTGTGCAACTTTTTCGTGCAACATAGAAACTGAACTCGACACAGTTCAGCCTGAATTCTCGCTTGAGCATCCTGTCGCTAATCTTACCGACGCCTCCAATCAAAGATCCAAGGGAAACCTAGTTCTGTCGACGAAACGGAGCATCGTCCGAGTTGGGCCAAGTGGATACGCGAACAGCTTGCCCTTCGAAGGATTCTACACGGTCGCGTGTCTATGTTGGTGGACGATACGAATCGAGTTCCATTGAGACAATTGGCAATTTTCGACGCCGAATATCCGTCGGAAGCGGCGGTAGCGCCCACGGCCACTCACTTGGCAAATTGGAGGCCAGACAATAAATTGCAAACGGTCGCGCATGTACACGCAAGAGCGGTTGTATATACGGCACAAGCTCCCCCGTGTACTTGTACAACCCGTGTAAGCCGTACAACAATGTGTAAGCGTTACACAAGCGTGTATATAGGAGTCCCGGTGGTTGCGTTCGCTGGCTCGTCATCGGCATAAGGACCGCACGCAGTAACATTACCATTCGGTCGCAGACGAATTCATTGGCTATGCCAGGGCGTCTTCCGTTCACAGGCAGAACGGTTGTCAGTCCGGTTTGACCCGACTTAGATCGTACGTGAGGAGCTGTTACGGTCGGCACTCATCAAACGTTGCGCGAGGAGAAACGTTGCGCGGCTTGCCCCGGCAGAAGTGCACGCCTCTCTCCCTTTTGACGCTACTTTCTCGCCCCATAGCCGGGTGAAACACCGTGTACGATCGTCTCTCTCTCTCTCTCTTTCTCTCTCTCCTCTGCTTTCATCCTGTAACGTCGCGCCGTTAGCGATGCTGGTTTCTTTCCTTTTTCTTTCTTTTTTCCTTCTTCAAGTTGTCGCGACTTTTCGAAAATACAAATTGCAATGGTGCTAAGATGCTTGAAATAATTGATTTATATATTGCGACGTACTATGTAAATATCGTAGAGTTCACTTACATTATGTATTAACAATCGAATGTCTGCTGCAGACGATCTGATTACTAGCAGACATTTGAAAAGGCTCTGGTAATACATTTATACGATGTATTATAAAATTTTGTATTATATTTACATGGCATTAAAATTGATTATTTTAAGTATTTTAGAAAAGGAGCTCTATTGTATTAAATTTTTAAACTTCTGACAATTCTCTAGCAAGCATTCGAAGACTTGATCCATCGAAGATCAAACAATGAAATAAGTCATTATTATAAAAGAAATTGTTTTATCAAATTATAAAAAATTAAGAATAGATAAGGAAGAATAAAAATAACAGATAAATTCACCGGGTGCCTAGATTAATTCACTTTATATTAAATTAAGATCATTTTCAGAATAATTTGAGAAGGATACATTATTGTAATAATACAGAATATTTCAATTTATTTGAAAATTACTCTCGTAATAGATAAATGCTAAACCATTAACAATGACAACTGCTATAATTAGGCTATAATTCAGAATTTTATATATTGCTATGAGTTAAAAGATATATACCTTGAATTACTAAATATATATTACACCAAATACAGAACGTAATGACAACAATAAAATATAATTTAGATAACTAAAAAAAAATGTGGATATTTCACGTAATTTCCCATACTGAAATACGCACACACATGTCGGGCAAACAAAAGCAAAAGCAAAATACAAATATCAGATAAATCACAGCAATGATCGAAATCCATAGTTTAATGACAACGTAACGTTTAAGTAACAACAAAAAAAAAAAATAAATAAATTAGATAAATCATGATGACGACACTCGACGAAACAAATCACCGATGCGTACTCGCAGACAAGAATCGTTCCAATTACATACTGGTGCAACAACACCACCGAGCAACAAGTTGCTCGACATCCCATTGACTCAACCCAGTGTGTATGTTCGGTATTATCGATCGTTCGGATTCCCATGCTATCTTGGCATCGGTTGCCACGAGTCAAAGGCATTCTCACAACGTGCACCACGTGGAAAGAGAGAGTCCGTATCGTGGCATCCCGACGCCGCTAAAATATGGGGGCATACGCACGATACACATCTGCTTGCCCTCTACGTGCAATTACGAGGAAGCTGGCGTTGCACCCCAATGCATCGATCCGCCACGAAGAGAGACGTTCTTCTATTTCGTGCCACTTCACATGAGGGCTTATTCACTCGGTGATCATGTGGGAATTTCCTACGTGATCATCAATGACACCGCTGGATTCGAACCACCGATACGATGAGATTTTATAATGTTATTTGACCACACCGATTTGGCCATCACCTTTCTCGCCTTGTTCTTTTCATATTCGTTTAGGTCTTGTTTGTACAACTTTTATGATGATTCTTCGCGGCGTGCGAAACGAAATTCTAGTTGGGATCTTGATTCTTTTTCTTTAGATTGATAAACTGTGCTTTGATTTATAAGTAAATGTAAGAAGAGTGGTCGTGATCGAATCTTTAAAAACTCGAGACACGAGAATTTTTATAAAGATTTAACGTAGAAGCTTCCTTCCAGTTTCCTATCAAGAAATAAAGAATAGAAAGAAAAGCGGAATTTTTTACTTTGTTATCTGCCAAATTAGCGAAACTTTGACTAGTTTTCCACGTAGTACAAAGTACAAAAAAGCGTGAAATACAAAAAATTTACGAAAATTGACGGTTTAAGAAAATAAGGAGACACTTCTTATAGTTCAAAACATTCTAATGCATAATTTCCCCATTCTTCCAACTAAAAGATTCCAAGAAACCTCCCCGATCGAGAAAGAAGAAGAGACGAGGCTGCTTTTATCTCGAAGTCAAGACTCGAATCGGCAATGAAAAGGAAACTCTCGTCTGGTAACTTGGTGTCCCCGGCGTCGCATCGTATTTTCAAACCCAAATATTATTAGAACAGCTACAAGTATCTTGGAAACAAGTGGCAACCGAGAGATCAACACGCTACAGGAGTTCTGAGAAAATGGCACCAAGTGTTCCCATTTTTTTCCACGAATTTCGGCCGAATTTCGTTCTTCGAGTGCCCTCGTCGCGACGACGAAGACGTTTCTGAACCTCCACGGTACAGAAGAAAGATTCCCGTGGGAGCGTTCTCTGTTCGTAACTAATTCGACCGGCCACTTTTCTTTTTCTTTCTCCGTTCAGGTTCTTCCCTCGACGATTCTCGAAATTACGAATTTTCGCATGAACGCACTCGACCACAACGCGCTCGAGTTAGCAACAGCGTAAGATTGGAAAAACTGGTCGGCAGGTAATCTTGCTAGTTTAAGTAAACGTTATTTTCATTTATCTGGAAGATTTATATTGGAATCTGGAATATCTTGCGCTATCTTGCTAGTTGCAGTGGCTTGGAGATATAATTAATTTGTTGCAAGGAACAAGTCTAATTAAGCTTTCGAATGCCCCTAATTCGAAAGAATTTTTTATTATTATTCTCTTTATTCTTTTCTTGTAATTCTAATTGAATCGAAAGCATTTCGTTTGGAATTTAATTAATTTGGAATTAATTCTTCCAGGCAGGTATTTGAAATATTTTACAAAAATTGTTGGGCTCCAAGGAAGACGCAAGCTATTTTGTATATATATATATATATATATATATATATATATATATATATATAT